CCTTAACGGTCACTTACAATGTGTTGCAGCAATTTGTTGCAAAAATGTTTGATCGCTTTGGCTTTTATAATGCGACTTGTTGTTACTGTACCCAAACATTCTTCAGTTTTTTAAGTAAATCCTGGCTAACTTGTCCAAGTAACTACTGGCCTGGCCTCGATTTTGCTTCAAAAGAACTGTTGTTTAGTTCTAAATTACCTTGACATGTCCTTCGAAAATATATTAGACTTTTATCATCATTTTCACTGCTTTCTCCTTCCTGGCCATTTATAAGCAAGCATATGCTCTTGACGGTGGCATATATAAGAGACCTGAACAGTTAAGCGTGAAAATGTCACAAAGTTGGAGGAAGATACAGTAGCAACATGTGCAGCATTTGGAAAGGAATGAGCCGCGCTGGCCAGGTCGACATCCTTCCAGATAAAGCTCCTTGATAAAGGTCCTTGTTAAAATATCCGTTTCTTTGCTGCCTTTTGCTAGTCCTATGTCCTAGCTTGGTTCTCGTTCTTGATAATTTCTCTTCCTTATTTAAAAATAGCAAATTTGGCATCTTCTTGCAAAATTTGGCACTTCTGCGGCTCAAATTAATTCCTTTGAATTTTTCAGCCTTCCCTGAAGATTTTGATAGCAAAAACTGCCCTGATTTCGGCGAAACAATTTTGTTCACGTTTTTATCAATGAACTTACGAGCACCGATCTGTTGCTAGGCAAAGTCGCTTGCAATGCTCCAGATCGGTTAGCGCGGAGATATGCAAAAATCCAATTGATGATCGATTCGTTGGTTCCATGTAGCACAACTGTTTTACTCTATTACTCGCTAAGCCACAGGCTATATAGTGTAGCGGCAGCACCCAATTCCAACTTAGAGCCATATGTGCACCACAGCCTGTAATTTTGCTGCCAGCCGTGTGTCGTATTTGCTCGATGAAATGACAAAGCACAAGTTTACCTTACAAAAAATAAGTGCTGTACTTGATCCTCATCTTCAGGATGTGGACCATTATTGACTCACAGAAAGACGCTGGGCTTAAAAATAATTCCAGAAATTCTTTCGCTACCCGCTTTTTTCACTCGCCTCATCATTTCTGCCTTTTATTAGTTCAATATAATTATTCAAATGCAAAAATGTATTGATAAGACCTTGTTTTTGTGTACATTTAGAAAAGTGTTTGTGCGTATGTATGTGTGTATGTATGTATGTATGTATGTATGTATGTATGTATGTATGTATGTATGTA